AAGTCAATATTATTCATTCCTGGAGTCTAGTAATGCCTGCCCATGTGATTGGTTCTTTTACAGATAAATTTTCATTGCTTTGTCTATGATATATTTATCTATCTTTGAAAGTTTGAAAGACATTATTATTATAAATTACATTAACAAATACTGAAACACCCTCAATATAATCGAACGCAAAGACGCTGGTAATATCGCTGGTAAATAATTCCACTCGTTTGTTACATCAGTAGCACTGATAACTTCCCTCTTTTCTGAAGTCTGTTAACAGATTGGATATAATTTATTAAGCTTCCCATTAATACTTATACTTATTTACAATAAATTTAATCCTTTGTAAATGTTCAGGTATGCTTATAAGTATCCTCAATACGTCCTGTAACCTCACATTATAAAAGAGTTATTTATATTTTATTTACATGAAGTTTGTATAATTAAAACACAGTTTAATTACTTATCCTATAGTTGACCATGCCCTAAATTGAATTGAGATAAGTAAAACATGTCTATCTTCGCAGCGAACGTTTTGACTTTTGATAAAACGATCAAGGTTAAGATTGCAGACAAAAATACACATTATATAGTAGATTTTTATGCTTTAATTTTTCTGTAAATGGACAAAATTAAAGGACTAACTTTTTCTATTTACAAAAATGTAAATGTTTTGAAGATAGGTAGTAGGTCAACATATAAACAGCTTTTCATAACTCATTAAAACAAAATTAAAATTTTCAAAAAACCCACGACGGATGTAAAAGTTGTAATCCAAAAAAGATAAAACAAAATTTTTAAAAAACCACCCGTCTAAAAGAAAATAAGTCACGAAAGATAAAAATAAAAAGCGTTTTAAAAATAGTTGATTTATCGCGAGATCTGTTATAATAAACAACTAATTTTCTTTCTTACTACTCTTATAAACTTTCCTTGGTCCTTGCTGCCTTTGTATACATATTTGTTTCTCATAGCGAGCACAGCAATAACATCAAATATAGGTACTACATATCTATACAAATAAATAAAATTGAAGTGTCTATTTGTAATGTCAAAATTACAGTTTTTTACTAAATGCATATGAAAGTAAATACGGTACTTATAACTAAAATACAATTTTTAAAATTTTTGTCTGTCTGTCTGTCTGCTTGTTCCGGCTAATCTCTGAACCGGCTGGACCGATTTTGACGGGACTTTCACTAGCAGATAGCTGATTTCATAAGGAGTAACTTAGGCTACTTTTATTTTAAAAAAAGAATTAGAGTTCCGCGCAAAAACATAAAAACCCAAAACACGCGGAACACGGGAACATCTAGTTAGGTAATAAATATAATTACAAACCCAAATAAATTCATCGGGGCTGCCATTGCCACGATCCCAATTTCAATATAGTAAAGCTAAGGGATGCAGCATTTTATACCAATTAAAGACTACATTTATTTACCTACCCAACGTATATTCAATTAGTCACTAACTTAGAAAATACAAAATTTTAGTTAATTTCAGAGCAGGTAATTGCAGACCCGACGGTTTTACTAGGGTTTGTAATTTATTACTTTAATTTTACTTTTCATTTTACACTTTTTAGTGAATTACTACGTTAATGTCTAAATATCTGTATATCTCACTATCTACACAACAATTTACGAGTGGGAGAACTGAGCATGGAACAGTATCAGCGACTTCTGGAGAGGATTCGTATTCCACTAGAGGAAAACTTTGTCGATGGGGTAGATGTACTTATATCTCCCAACTTACAACTCATCAACGCATTCAATCGAAAATGTTAACAAAAGATGAGTCCAGGCCATCCAATAACTATGGAAATAAACCGACCGACCGAAATAACACAGAAGGACTATTATCACACATAAACTTTGGTAGATACACGAGTGATGTTAAGAATATAGTAAGTAAGTAATATAAAGATAAGAGAGTTCGAAGTTTTCAGTAGGTACGGTTAAGAAAAGACAAGTTGGAAGATGAAGAGTTACCCAAAAAAGGCCTAATCCAAATCGATGACTGCTTTATCGGCAGAAGTTACCATGATGAAAATGTTTGGGTAGGCATAACTCTAGTAAGTGCATCATTTCAAGGCAACAAAGATGCTGACAATATAGAAAGGGTAGTGCTTCCATTCATATTAGATTGGGCCGTTACAGTGCCTAATTTGCAAGGTACTACAGTCAATGGCCGCCGTGGTCATGCATCTTGGACCCAAAATATTCTCAAAAGGTCAGGCTTTTGTGACTCTTAGTAGAGTACAATCTCTAAATGGCGTGACTGTAACTGATCTAAATCAAAGAAAACCCTTTAATAATCCACATACTAGCATAGCGTTGGAAGAGAACGATTGAGAAGTACGTTGCGCGGGCCACGAATCGAGGAAGCAGCAATGAGTGAAGATTTTTTATTGCAGCGCCTCCTGGTGAGTTAACACCTATCTAAGAATTATTTCCGATGAATCACAAACCTTTTACAGAAACCGTAAATTAAACCGTTTTGGAGATAAATGGGAACAATTGTTTGCAGACACAAACAAACAAACAGACAACCTCTCAGCTTCCCCACTCCGTCATGGGTAGAAATAATTCCTAACCTTCAAAAACTATTTAGTCGTAAATGGTCATTGACATTCTAAGCCAAATGATCCAACTGATCCAATCATTCGAACAAATATAAAAGTACAACGATACTTCTTTCGAACATTCAATAGTGATGTATTCTGCTGCTAAAGTTTTTCAAGCGTAGGCGGATCTTGTAGTTATTGCAATTGGTAAGGGTCTTACAGTCGCCTTCTTAATTGTTCAGAGGTCAAATTAATTTCTTTTAATTGAAGACTCCGCGTGGACAGTAAGTGGAGTTCGCGGAAGGACCATGTTAGTTTGTTTGTTTTTATGTTGCAGAATAAGATGTGTTACAATAAAAAATGCATCATTATCATCATCTCAACATCTATATTGAGATGATTCAACATTTCTGATGATTTTCAACATTCTCTTTTAAGTTCACCGAAGGACATTGTTTTTCGAATAATGTATTAGTCTGTATGAATTATTTAGAAGTTTGTTCATGCTCACCGCGCAGGGCAGATGGGTTTATCAGCGCAGAGTCGATACTTTCGCACTTGCCATGCTAGTCCGCATTCTCATCACCAGTTGGATGTCAGAGTGCGACGCGATGTTGACATTAGACAAATGGCCGATATCCTCTTTTTGTACTTTGAAAGTTATTTGAAGTTCTTAATTTAGCCCTTAAGTAATATTTGGTAGCGAGACATCACCGCTTCAATGACCCATGCAACGGAAGCTGTACATATTGTTAGGGACACTCCTGCTGCGCAACGTGCGTGGCGGCCCCAATTATCTGATTTATCTTTATGATTTGCCCACGCCCCTCGCAATGTTAACCAGAAGAAACATTGATAGGAAAGAGGTCGCACTCTTAGATTTAATTAAAATAATCTCATAGAGTTAAAGTTGGAAAGTTGTATTACCTGTTTATATACAAATTGGCGATAAAAAATAAGTAGTAAGTTTAATTTAATTTAATATACTGCGATAAACATTTCCGATGATACAGTGGCAGTCGCGAATTTTGATAACAATAAATAGGTAATACTTTATTTACTTAATTGAATATTTTATTAATTATATTCCTCAAAGAAGGACTAGTTTATATACGAAATTAGATATTACATAACTTTCATCAAATATTCAAAAATCGATAATAATAACTATTTATTTTCAAGATGTTTTGAATTTCTTTAACATATCTTTACCCAATATGGACATTTCTAATTAAAAGGTATTTAATTAATAGTTAACATCGAATAAAATATAAGGAAAACCAGAGTCTTATTTCACTTAACACATTTTAAAGTATTACTTATAGTCTTAAAACTACGCGTTTTGTGTACGAAAATGTCGATTAGATTAACTTGATTCATACATTTTCTTTGTACATAGGCTGTGACGTAAGCGTCATGATGTTCAAAACCTTTATCTGAAAGATTTATTTTACATTAAATTACTCATCAACACTAACAATTTTATATAGTATATTGTTTTCGACATTTTCTTGTTTGTAGCTCCATGCATAAAACATTGTTTTGATTAAATCAGAACTCTAAATTTAAGTAATGTTAATATTGTTTAAATTATGATTGAAATGAAGAATAAGGTCTTTTAATTCATTATAAAAAAATTAAAAGACAAATGACGCCTTAATTTCCACTTAGAGAAACACATCATATTAATGAGTTTTCCGAAAACTAACTGTAATTGAGGTGTTGATAATGATGGATGGATGGAAAACTTGTACCTAAATAGTTATAAAATATACATTATTATAAAAATGTTTTTATTGTTTTGAAACTTCTGAAAAAGCTGTGGGTGTGCATATAATAATAAATAAATGTAAGTATATAAATTAAATGTGAATTAAGTGTATTGTTTCGAGAAATAATCATATTAAAGATTAGGAAAATTCAAACAATACGCATTGATCATAAACTGTGAAAACTACTGCAGATTATTTAGACATCTGGAAGTAGGTGACAATTGAACAAAAAAATCCATTACATTTATACATAAATAGATACAAATCAAGCTAATATAAAGCCTGCAAATAGGTGCAACGCAGGCTTAGCTCATGCAGTTTTTGGAATTATGTATAATTTATGCTAATTGTGATAAATATGTTATATAGCCTTTAAAAATACAACACATCTTTGAGTACCTATAAATAATATGTATATATAAACTAAGACTATACCAAATCCGTGCTAATTTAATTCGAGATTTAAAATTATAAGTATAAGTATAAGCGAATATTGCGATTATTTAACGTATTAAATTATTCACGCGATTATGACTTAATTATTTTTTGAAATTACTGAGCTTACACCTAAAAAATATTATATGTTCTTCATATTCGATATTAAGGTACTTATTTTTTTTTAATTTGGCAATATTTGCATAAAATAGTAATGTTTTAAAGATTATTACCTTGTCATATTTAATTTTGTTTGTAGAACTTATATCACATATCAACAGAATCGCACTAAGATACACATTGTGATCACTTAAGCACAAAATAACACTTAGGAATCTGCTAGCATTACTAAGGGCGGTCGCATCGTCTGCTTGCTTCCAGAGAGCCGCAATCAGCGGCGGACGGCACTTGTTGAATTGATTCAATTAGTTAACTGTTGTTGCCCCTTGTATTTCTCCGTGTACGTGGAGATGATCCTTACTCGACGGATGATCAAATGATACTGTTACCGCGGTAATCTTTTATCAGTCGTCCTTCTAGCATGTAGCGTTGAGCTCCTATCCACTCTATGATATAATAACAATCAAAAACAATGGTTTCGGCTAAATATCTATTATTGTCGTAGATAGGCGCGGTATCTAAATGCTCCGATTGGTTGTTCGATTATGTTTGCTCTTGAGACGTTGCCGAATTCAATGTTCGATAAGCAATGCGTTCCTTTGTTTTGACGAGTCAATAAGTCTTGTCAATAAATGAGATAGGGTCATCATCATAAATGGGTAATTATGTACCTACTTTGTATTAATGATAATAAATGCAGTTAATAGTTTTGTATATAACTTTCTATAAACAAAATGATTGACGAAAACCATGAGAACAAACTATTTAATTAGTAATTACTACTAATTGTCTTCTTAGTAATTGTATAAGCATTGATATTTGTTTATTTACTTAATAAAAAAATAAATGTAACAACTTAAAATTAAGGGTAAACAGGGCGGACTTCATGCTACGTGGCATTCTCTACCAGTCTACCTCTGTCTTAAGCAAAGAATTAGAAAATACAATTTACAAAATTGTAATAAACAAATCAAAATACTATAACTGAATAAGTACCTAAATACATAGTATATACCTACATAAATACGAGAATATATAGAAATGTAAATAAAAATATATTTAATATTTATACTATACTAGCTGGCCAGGCAGACGTTGTTCTGCCCTTTCCTGAGATGACCCTTTCTCCAATAACAAAATCCTTAAATTCCTAATAAAAATGTTAAGGGTCAGTTATCGGGATTAAAACTATTAAAGATTAAAAATAATTAAAAGATATATCTCTCAAGTTGGACCAAACTGCACATAGTGTGCAGAATTTCATTGAAATCAGTTGAGTAGTTTAGGAGTTCATCGCGGACAAACAATGTGACACGTATTTTTTATATATAAAGATTAGCCGGTTCACGGCGCGTTGCTACAGTAAAATTGTGGAAGTATCGTTTTAAATTTGGAAGAGTTGTGTTGTTTAGTTAGGAATGATAATGATAATAAGATAACTTTCAAATAAATTTGTTGGTACGATACGCGCGCCACCTACTGTAACTGAATTGTACTATGCCTTCCCTATATTATATACTATACCTTCGCGCAAGTACAAGCAATAAGTTGACAAAGTTTTAACGCAATCTGATGAACGGTATGGCAGCGTATAAAATACGAACAACCAAACATAAACTTTTATATATTAGATTACATTATATTTATTTCAGGAAGTCGACGGATTTTTTATAGGAGAGGGGGCAAACGAGCATGCGGCTCACCTGATGGTAAGTGACTACCGCCGCCCATGAACAACCGCAACATCAGGGGAATTGCAGAAGCGTTGCCGGCCTTTTAAAAAGGAGTAGGCTCTTTTCTTGAAGGTCCCTAAGTCGTATCGGTCCGGAAAAATCGCTGGTGGTAAACTATTCCACAAGGAAGTTGTGCAAGGAAGAAAACATCTTCTAAATCGCACAGTGGTGGACCGCCAATCATCCAAATGGTGTGGATGGTATCGGGAGTTCTGCCGCGATGTGCGTTCGTGAAATTTGGCAGGTGGGATTAATCCGAACAATCCCTCAGAGCACTCCCCGTGGTAAATGCGAAAGAAAATGCAAAGAGATGCAACATCTCTTCGCAGTGCCAATGAGTCGAGCCGATCGGAAAGGACTTGGTCGTCGACGATTCGAGCCGCTCTGCGCTGGATGCGGTCAAGTGGAAGGAGCTGGCACTGGGGAGCCCCAGCCCAGAGATGGGAACAGTATTCCATGTGAGGCCGAACCTACGCCTTGTAAAGTTGCAGGCGTAGAGCCGGCATGAAATACTGTCCCGCTCTGCTGAGCACGCCAAGCTTTTTAGAGGCCAATTTGGCCTTCTCTTCCAAGTGACCACGAAACTGCACGTCACTCGATATGTCGACGCCGAGGATTCCGACACTGGCTGAGGCAACAAGGGGAGTACCTAGAAACTGAGGAGATACGACAAAGGGGTTCTTTTTAGCGGTAAACGCGCAAACTTGTGTCTTCTGAGGATTAAACTGGACTAGATTTAGTCGCCCCCAATCCGAGACTTTGTCCAGCAAAGACTCGACTTCAGACACAAGTTTGTTCCGGTACTCGGTGACGTTTTCCCGAGAAATATTGGCACGGCCGGTGTATCATCACCAGTGCTGTCATCCGCATAGCAATGAATGCTACCGGCTTGCAACATATCATTGATATGCAGAAGAAACAGCGTTGGTGATAGCACGCAGCCTTGTGGAATACCAGCGTTAATAGGCTTGTAGTCGGAGCATGCACCGTCTACAACGACCTTGATGCTCCGATCTGCAAGAAAGCTGGTGATCCAATTGCATAATTTCTCGGGAAGCCCATAGGAAGGGAGCTTCGAAAGAAGCGCTTTGTGCCAAACCCGATCGAAGGCCTTCGCAATATCCAAACTAAAGGCCAATGCCTCCCCCTTGGACTCTACTGCTTCCGCCCATCTATGAGTTAAGTAGACCAGAAGATCATCAGCTGATCGACCCCGACGAAAACTGTACTGGCGGTCACTAATCAGCTGGTGATCCTCAAGGTACCGCATTAGGTGGCAGTTTATAACGGATTCCATTATTTTGGAGAACAAGGGGGTGATGGCGAGAGGCCTGTAGTTGGACGGGTCTGAGCGGTCGCCTTTTTTAGGGATCGGGTGGACAAAAGCTGTCTTCCATGATTTGGGGACTACGCCTAGGGAGTAGGAGTACCGAAAAAGACGCGTTAGAACCGGTGCCAACTCCGGAGCACACGTCCTCAGCACAATTGGGGGGATTCCGTCAGGCCCACTCGACTTGTGGATGTCAAGGGAGAGGAGTGCTCTGCGAACCGAGCGCTGTGAGAACCGCACATCCGGCATGGAGCACTCACACCGCGAGATGGTCGGCGGTGTGTTCCCCCCGTCATCAACAGTCGAGTTGGACGCAAAATGGGACCCTAAAAGGTCGGCTTTCTTTTTTGCGTCGTGGGCCAGTGAGTCGTCCTCCCTGTGCAGAGATGGTAGTGATGGCTTACAGAAATTCCCTTGGACAGCCTTGGCGAGAGACCAGATTGCACGGGTTCCCGAAGAAAGGCGAACTAGTTTCTCCCCAATTCTGCCTATGTGCTCTGACTTTGCCTTGGCAATAACTCTTTTGAAGGACCTGGAGGCGGAGTTATACTTCTTTTTAAGTGTGCTGGTGTTTACATCCCGAGTCGCTGAAGCCGCAGCCCAGGCGTGATAACACTCCTGCTTAGTGCGTAATGCAGTCTTACAGGAGCGACCAAACCAAGGCTGCCTCCGATGGGTACCACAAATGATGGAATAAATAGTTCCATTCCCTGTAGCACCACATCAGTGACAGAATCAGCAACAGCGCTGGGATCATCCGGCGAGAAGCAAACCCGCCCCCATGAGTAGGAAGCAAAGAAACACCGCATTCCGTCCCAATCTGCCAACCTGTAATGCCAAACACGGCGGCAACCTGCAGAACGCAACCGCGAGGGGAGCGTGAGTGGCACCACACTCCGGATCAGACAATGGTCCGAAGAGCCAAGAGGGGCATCGACGGAAACCTGATATCCGTCCGGATGAGAGGTCAGCAGAAGGTCCAACAGGGAAGGTGTATGATCCTCAACATCTGGAATCCGCGTAGGCGATGTAACCAGTTGTGTCAGACCATATACCAAGGCAAAGTCATTGACTGGCCTGTTGGTCTAGTGGTTAGTGACCCTGACTGCTACGCCGGAGGTCGTGGGTTCGATTCCCACCCAGGACAAATGTTTGTGTGATGAGCACGATCATTTGTTCTGTGTCTGGGTGTAATTTATCTATAATATTTATGTATTTAGAAATATATAAGTATGTTTATCAGTTGTCTAGTACCCATAACACAAGCTCTGCTTAGCTTGGGACTAGATGGCGTTGTGTGATAGTTGTGGAATATTATTATATTATTATTATTATATTTATATTAAAGTCATAAACAGATCTCCCCGCATGATCGGTTAAACGTGAACCGAGCCATGCGGCATGGTGAGCGTTAAAATCGCCAAGGATCACGATCTCTGCGGATGGGACCTGTTGTAGCAAGGAATCTGTAGCCATTTGGACGTGGTCGATGAGTCGGTCTGTTTCGGCATTACCGCTATGGGACCTATAGAGGCACCCGTAGACGCGCGGATGGTCGTCGCAGTCTACGCGTAGCCAAAGGATGGACAGGTCCGAACCTTCAAGACTGCCGAGGCGTCGAGAACAGATGTCCTCTCTGACATACACGCAAACTCCAGCCCGAGGCACAAAGGAGTGCTCCAATTTGTACCCCGGGTAGGAGAGATACGAAATATCAGCGGGAGAGGAAGCCTGCGTCTCGGTCAGAAAGAGCAAGGCCGGCTTCGCCGTCTCGAGATGGTAGTGGACGGCGTTTAGGTTAGAGTGAAGTCCCCTGATGTTGCAGAAATTCACGGATAGCGTGGCAGGGGTCGCCTTGGTATTCTTGCTCAGTTTGCCCCGAGCAGTTATGTTTTTGAGTGGAATTTTGCCCCCCCCCCCCCCCCCCCAGTATACGCGGGGCAGCCTGAGCACCCACGCTCAGGATCGGAAAAACATGGTCGTGGATGCTCAGCGAGGGATTCTCCAGGGGTATTGGTACCCTCCTGGGGTAGTCTATCGTGTAATTCCGCTACGATATGATGACTTTATTACAAACATATATATGTCGGAGCGTCTATAAAATACCCGGTTGGATCGAGGTAGAATGGAGGGTATATCGAGAAACCCCCTCTTGTGTCGGTAGTATAAAGTTCACTGTAGGTGCCGTGCGCGGGGATTCCGCTTCAGTCATTCAACGAGTGTGGTCATTCTACTAGTGCTACGATAGTGTTGTGGTTCTGTTCGTTGTTGTAATTCCTCTAGTGCAGACAAGGAGGATTGGTGTTGCTGAGAGGCTGCCCTGTGTTCAATGAGATAAGTAGTGTTGTTGTTGTTTTACATATTTTGGTGTTATCATGTAATTACGTACTTCACGTTACACTGGTGTGTGATTGTGGCAGAGACGTGTTACGGTGTGGTCTAACTGTAATTTTACTATACTGAATGTATAGTGCGTTACGTTGTCTTATTACTGATAATGATTAAACTGCGTAAGCAAGAGAGCAAGT